GCTCTTCGCTTAATCCACAACAAAACCCCGTAACTACAGTACTACACCGACACCGTCTCGAACAGGAGTCTCATGATAAAGAAGCTGCCCGACGATGTAATCTATTCCATACACGCCTCAACCCACAGGAATCGTCTCATGTCTCTCATTGACCACGGGAATACGGATTAGCTAACGGAGCCGAGCACGGAGTATACTTCCTGTCCAAGTCGAAAAGAGGCTCTGCTATAGAACTTCCCTCCAATCGTTCTCTCGCGCGCCCGGTGTAGAGATATGCAACCCGATAATCAATTGTTCCAGATAAATTCATGCTACTGATTCTCACTAAATGGAGACAGGCGCTCCGCGTTCGAAGTTCCTCGCCTCAACTCAGCACGGAGTAGAACCTACTTTCATCGACACGCATACATAGCACGTAAGACTTATGTAGATAATAGCCCGTAAGAAGTCAGAAACTCTTCCGCTGTGGGTCGCCAGAGTTTTTTTTCCTCTAACTCTGCCATCTATTTTCTTCGAGGTTATTTTCCTGTTTTTCTATGGGTAGGCTTGCAGTAAAGCAAAGGACGGAGAAGAGAAGACAGCTTCCTCCGTTCATCCTTGTTTCCGCCCCAGCTATGAGTATATAGACGGGTTGTATATGTGCACATCACCTTCCCTCAAACTCTGGACGGAAGTCAAACACAATCACCGCTAGACCGTCAGATCCGATCCTCGGGATTTACCAGGTAGTGTTCTTCTCTAGAGCCAAGAATCAACCCAATCCTCCATTCTCTTGCATACCACGGAGTTACGTATGTAGTGATGTAGTAACCAAAATTCTCCCGATTTTCTTCCCGAGCGGAACGAGCCGATTCTGGCTGGCACGGCCGGTCCACAATTACGGAGTTTTTCTCGACTCTCTCGCTCCGTAGAGTCGAATCAACATCATCAACCTGAACCTATCTACAGGCTACGAGCTGGGGCTGGGGCTGGGGCTGGGGCTGGGCACCTCCCCTCTCCTCCACTTCTGCGTCCTGATTTGATTGCTCCTTCTTTTCTTCTAGTTGGGTCTTCAGGTTCCCCTACTACGTTAGCAGTCTTGACGGTGGTCTAGGCTCAAGGGGGTAATTATGTACGAGCACTAAGTATAATTCTTGAGTTGTATGTGCTCTGTACGTCGAGTCGGCTTACCGGGTGCGTGGGTTCCGGATGTATAGCTGTGTATCGGGAAATGGGATTCTTCGATGAAGCCTGGATGCCTTTGCTTGAGAGGGGTGGACAATACTGAGTATGTCCATTTGATTGAGTGCTTTCACCTTGCTTTCAAAGTGGAAGTCGCCGCTCATTATACAATCGCAATTTACACGTTTGATTTATATGTTCTCCTGAACGCTAACAATGCTCGGTATAGCTAGGTAGGTATCAATACAGGATCAGATTGAAGCAGTCGCGCCCGCGCTGCGAGCTCACCATCCCCAAGCCCGTACGTACGTAGGGCAGGGGAGTGAAACAGAATGGCAAATGCATCGAAGCAGTCAATAATGACAAGTATTAAGTGAGCCAAGGGGTAGTGGGTGGTAAGGCCGACAAGGAACGACACTACCGACACACAAGATAACGATTAGGTCCGCCGTCCGCAAGCAGCAGCGACAGAAATCTTTCTATCTACAAATATTCTCTCTCCCCACCATTCCGTATCTACATACCCGGTCGCGGGAAGATGGGGACCGTATCTAATTGCTCCAATCCACCCATTGTGCCTTGCTGGCCACCAACATGCCACCCCTGGCCGGTTTGTTGGTTCACAAAGGCACTTTGGCGGAATGGATTGGTGCTTCCCGTGGGGTTTGGCCGGAGAGGTGCCGCCGCGGGAGGCTGTAGCCCCTGCGATTGCTGGGGTGGTACGGAGGAGCTGCGGGCGAAAGGGTTGGTTCCCGTGCGCTGCGCTTGAAGCGGCGCTGCCTGTTGCACCTGAGCCTGTGGTTGCGCCTGTGCCGGTGCGAACGCCTCAAGACCACCGGTGTTGAATTGCGGGCTCGCTGTCGAAAGCCGCCGCGCGAACGGGTTGGTATTCTGGCGGTCAAGTGGGGCGGCCAATCCGGTCGGCGTGCTCATCAACATCGACTGTCTGAACGGGTTGGTGGATTGGGGCTGCAGGAGGTGTGGTTGAGCCCCCGGCGCCAGTTGCTGTTGCGGCTGCGGCTGCTGCTGCTGCGGCGGGAATGCAGTAACATCGTTTTGCGGGATCGGAGCTAGGTTAGGTTGGTAACCATAGTTTTGGGGCTGCGCTGAGTAGCCACCAAAGCCGGCCCCAGTGTGGTCGGGCTGGAGAGGCTGTGGAACTTGTGGTTGGTTGAATTGCTGAGTCTGCGAAGTGAATTGAGGCCCAAATGGCGATGACTGTTGGCCAAAACCCGTCGGTTGTGGTTGTTGCTGCATCTGCTGCTGTGGAAAGCCGGTCTGCTGTGCATAGAATGGCTGCTGCTGTGGTTGAAAGCCTGCTTGTTGGAACTGCATGGCCTGCGGCGGCTGCTGGAACTGTTGCTGTTGGTACGCGTTTTGCTGTGCCATCGGCTGTTGGTTTTGCTCGATCGAGTCAAAGAAGTCGATCAAATCTACCGGGTTCGATTTCGCTTGAGCTTGCGGATTGGGCTGTGTCTGTGGCCGAGCCGAAGGAGAGGCTGCGTGGTTAACGGCGTGGTCACCGGTGGCATTTTTGGGCACAGAGGATGGTGCCCCAACACTCTTGCCCTGTTTACGAGCAAGGTACTCGCGGCGGCGGAGATTGAAATCGGGGTCGTTCAAATCGTCCTCAAGAAGCCGAGTCAGATCAGTAGAAGCATGCTTCAGCTTAGGGATTTCCAGACGCGTCGCGGATTGGAAATGCCGAGCTACGCCGAGAAACTTGACCACTTCTTCCGTCTGCTGGGTAAATGTTTTATAGATCTCCAGCGCACGTTCACTGTCGGGACGTGACATCTCAAAGTAGTGTTCTAATCGCAGGTCATGTAAGGATTGTGCGATCCAGATGACAGTAAGAGACACTTACCCAGGACATTTATCGTTCCCTCGTTCATGACCGAGTAAAGGGTCAACAGATCCAACGTGAGCAGACGAAACGCGGTCAATGATATCTCGTTCTCAACATCGTCCGTTAGAAGCTGAAGCCTGGTCAGTCGTGATTTCACGATTGCGACAAAGGTTATGGGTAACACACGTCACATCTGAGCAACGCTCGGATCTGTCTTTGAACAATCTCGGTTTCTCTCAGAAGGCCTTTCTCAACCGTCAGGCGCTTCATCCGGCCCTGGCCGCTTCGCACGTAGTCGGTCTTGGTGGACTCGAAGGCCTTTGCGCGCGCCAGGAGATACTCGGAATATCTCCGGATGTTATGGCCCTGCGACTGGACTACACCCAAGCCTAAAATTTAGCGACCCTCATATCCCTCTCTCTCTTGCACTGAAAGCTGCTCACCTTCCGAAAATCCACTGATTGCCAACTTTTGGGGGTTCTCTGCCATGTACTGCAACGTGGCGTCCAATTGACCCTCCCTGATCATGAGGTGGATCACAATCAGAGCCTTGAAGACGATTGTCCATGTTGAGTCGCGGAGACGGAGCTGCAAGGTCCGGAAAATCTCTGCCACACCTGCTTCGCCTGTATGCGTCGCGACCAGGATATGTTCGATGTACTTGGATTTGGGGGCGGCGAGCTGTCGAAGAGCACGGCCATTAGCATCTGCGCAGATCGCCTCAGGGCAGCCATCATCGTCCCTTGACTAACCTTGACCTTGGTAGCCCCCTTCACCGACTTCTCAAAGTTATGGGACATGTTGAAGAATGGGAGTTGAGCGGTGCGATGGCAGTGGAGCGGAGATAAGAATCAGGGGCGGCACCGTGGCTTCGCTGTCGAAATATTGGGGAGAGGGTAGCAAGGACTGAAGTGGTTGGAGGTAGTTATATCAAGTGTCTATAAGAGTCGAGTGCCAATTGATCTATCCACGCCAATGCTAAGAATAATCATGATCACTCAAGTAGCCATACTGTGGAACCTTTATTGAGGATGATGCCTAACGCGGTCTGTCGATGACGAAGTGGGGACGGAAAGGAATCCCAGATGGCAATCGGTACGATCGGGTTGAAGCGAAAACCCTATCGGACTCAAGCCCGGAGAGACAGCGGGGGGTTGTGGAATGACTGGAGAGAAAGAATGCAGACAAGCGGGGGGAGAAGAGGGGAGAAGAGGGGAGGAAAGGAAGAATCCCGGGCTGAAAGTGGAAGAGGGAGCTTTGAGGCCCGTCGGGGATGATGACCGGGCGTTGCGGTGGAGTGGAGCTGCGCTTGGTCGCCTTAGGCTGAGAACTGCCTAGTGCGGGTTCGGCCGGTTCGATCATGGATGTCTTTGACAAAGCCTTTGGTAATTTATGCTTGCTGCACGTCACAGCTGCTGCAGCCCTTCGAGAAGGTTTGACAGCTTCCTTATATGAACTACAATAATATCAAGTACTGAATTCTTACCCACAATATACTTCTTGTATTCTCAGAGCGGCTTTCAGCCTCTGCCCGCTGAATTGGTCAAAAGTGATAGGTCATTACTCTGCTCGGGTACCGTGACATTTATATAGTTCATTGTCCGTTCTATAATGAAAGAGCACGATGCAGCAAATGAAAGCCTACCTACACTGAAATGCTCCTTCTTTCGTAGATGAAGTAGCCTTCTCTTTTCTTTTTGGTGTTTCATGCCCTGCTCTCAGGGCTAGTAACACAAAGTGAGTTTTGAGTAAAACATGGTCACACTCAGCACTCGCCTAGGGAGGCCAAAGGTATTCCTGAAGCGACATTTACTCAGTCTGCTCCACAAATCTAGATTGCTCTATCTGTCGAGGACCTTGCAGTGAGCCTGGCCTCTCATTTGAAGGTGTTGCTTCTATCTCCTTTCGTCTCATACTCCTTGCCCCCCCAGTCCCCAACCTTACCCACTCATTGCTCACATTGTACTATCCCTGACCTCAATTGGCTCAGATGGCCTTATCAGGAGGACTGAACTTTACAGCAATGGAGCCTCTGATTAGCTGGGATTCGGAGAAAAGAAAATTTCTCTGTTGTTTGTATCGATTCTGGGATCGGGATATCAACGCTTACAAGGCAGTATTCGACGCCGTCTATCGAGACGATTTGAGAAACGCAGGCTTTAGAGATGGTACTCCCAAAGAAAGACTTCGCGGCCAATGGCACCACTTGAAGTCAAAAGTGCTCCCGGACTGGGTTGACGTCCATCTGTCTCCCTTTGATAAAGATGGACGGTGGGCGCCCTTCATTGCGACCATCCGCAGGACTTTGAGATCCTTAGATATACGCCTCAGGGAGAATACGGTGGATCCCATCGATGCTGCTACTTACGAACGTGCAATGCACACACTCAGTCGCAGGACCTCGGTGAGTCTAAGCCTCTTTGCATGCATGCAATTGGCACTGATATGTGATTCTAGAGTCAGACCCAGGCACAGGACGACACAGACATGGCGGTTGATACTGAGGGAGTGGATGAAGTCATTGACGAGTATATCACCCACGAGATCGAGGAGGAACCGGCCGATGTCTCTGTGCATGAGGACAGGACCCTTTGCAAATTCGGCAACAAAGAGTGTTTCTGGTGTGTACAGGAGCACGTCATGGAGGTAACTCTGATTTGCAAGACACATGATTCAGGAGAAGTCTGACGAAAGAGGCGTTTAGATCACAAATAAACGAGGAAATACAAGACTGAGAGAAGACGGCATACCGCCAGTACTGTATCGGTGGTCGAATGTCGACTCGCAGGGCATCAACACGAAGAATCTCTTGGTTGCGGGTCTCTTCGATGATTGGGACAGGTACTTCTCACCGAACACAATACGACCAGAGAAGTTCGTGGAGTATTTCCGGAAGCATGTTCATGGAGAGGAGGTTCTGTCCCCATTCATCTCGACGTTCATGTCAATGCTCTCACCCGTGCACCGTGCCATACGGAACAAAGAAGGTGCTCTCATTTCCGTGATTGATACCAAGGGGCTTGACTTTGTGTACTCAGCCAGGGATCTGTTCAGGACACACAAAGTCCGGGTAGGAAAGAGCTTTTACAACGGCGCCGGGGAGTTTTTGATTTGGGGGAAAGTCCCCTCCTCTAACATAATTTGTTTCTTTAAAGTCAGCACATTGGAACAGATTGCAGACGAGCACAAAGATATTGCTGAACTCCTTCGGCTCGACACCATTGCGTCGTATAAGTGTAATCGACATGCGTTGAAAGCTGCGCTTTCACAGCGAGAGCATTATTCCGATCACACATCTGGCAACATCATTGGAAAGCTTCTGTCTCTACTTCAAGTTCGATATGAGTATAGTGATGAAATCGGACGAGGCATGTTCTATTCCTGGCGTCTTCGGTATTTCTGGCATCTTCGGAAATCCGACAATCCCGGGGAAGCATTTTACGAGGGTATACGTACAGGATATGGTCTTTCGCCTGAGACCCCAATGACTGCAGATGAACACCAGCATCGGGAGGTCTGTGTTATCTCAGACGATGAAGATGACGACGACGACGACGACGACGAATCAGTCACTGAGGCCGGACTCAGTGAGGACGAAGACAATGAGCGAAGCCCGGCTTCTGTAGACGATTTCAGCTATGTCGTCGTCCGGCGTGGCTCCCATGGGTCTCACAATCATGAACAGACCGAGGCCAATGGCGAAATGGTGCACGTTGAAACCCAGTGTAGTAGCTACCCTTCTTCTCCACCTAGCTATGGGGACCAGAACGAGACTCGTCCTTCTCATGGCTCATTCGATCAAGACGACCGACACAGTACTACTGACGATGACTCTTATGTGCTGTGCAATTCCGACATTCTCCGATCGCATACATCTCGCATCGATGACGAGGAAGAGACCGAGGAAGAAGACGACGACGATGAAGCAATTGTCAAATGGCCAAGACGAAACCGCCGCTCGTACCCAGCCATCGAGACTTGGGACGCATATACCGGTCGGTGGATCGCCCAGCAGGATGAACTCTCGCGTCAGGGGAAAGAGCTCCCACCAAGAGATGTGTCTGGTGCGCGGAGATTGTTTGAAAGTTCCGATGCGGGAAGTTGCGTCTCGCTTGTGTCTGAGGAGTCGGATCTGGTTGCTACAGATTCCGTTATCGCGGCCATGTGCGACAACATGGAGGTAGACACAGAACCAAGCGTGGTGAGAAACAGAGGTACGGAAAACATTGACTGGCAATACCAGTTTTCTCTGGACAGAGCGCGCCAGAGGATGATCCTGGGTTGATGCTACTCGATGGCCTATCTCCGTGTACTCTCGTTATGCTTGTGTGGACTTCGACTTATCTCCGGGCAATGAGATGAAGGGGAAGATGATTGGGAAGAAAAACTGATTCGTCTACGAAATGTTTGCAATTGGGGGCGGATGATGTGCGTGTGCTCGAGGTACTAGGTATGAGTGGGAAGTGCCTATTTGAGAAATCTTTGCCTCAATGTTAAGGTGGTGGACGAGAATTTGAACAAATGTAACACAAGGAGCTGTTGTTTGGCAGTACTTATGCTAAAGCACACTTTTGAGATGACCGTTGATCGTAGACAATCCACCCTAACTCCGTTTCTCGTCCAGAAAAATTTGTAGGTAGAATTCGAAGAATGCGCCTCACAATTCAATGCTCAATCCGTGTAGTATTCAAAGTGGAACCTAGGGACAGGCCCGAGCCGTGCCCAAGCGTGTTGCACGGTGGACTGCCATTAAGGAGAATCAAAAGAATTTTTTCATTGGATATTCTTTCTCAAGGGTACCTGGGACATGAAATCGTGAAACAATCCCAACCCGTTTAACTAATCCATTGTATATCCAGTCACGCCGCAGCCCTAGGTTATTTTCCTCTCGAAAACACTTCCTCATCGACACGCTTAGAACTTGCTGAAAGCCTTGACGGCCTTACCGGTGCGGGGAAGGACACGGAGGACGTTGAAGCGAACCTGTAGGTCAACATGTTAGATGGTGCGCGGAAGGAATTGGGCCTGGGTCCTCTCAGGAGCATTGTAATGGCTTTGTGGCATTCCATCGGTTGATCAAGGACAAAGCCATACTACCCCTGACAGATCCCAGGAAAGATATTGGCGGAATCGAGGCAACGTACAGTCTTGGAAAGGGGACGGCACTGGCCGACGGTAACCCAGTCACCCTCCTCAACACGGAAAGCGGGAGAAACGTGGGCAGCAAGGTTCTTGTGGCGCTTCTCGTAACGGTTGTACTTGGGGACGTAGTGGAGGTATTCACGGCGGATGACAATGGTGCGGTGCATCTTGGTGGAGACGACACGGCCGGTCAGGATACGACCACGGATGGAGACCAGACCGGTGAAGGGGCACTTCTTGTCTGTTCTTGATGTTAGCGACCGGTTGCTCTCTCCCTTCTTTCCTGCAGTGTCTGGAGATGTTTTCCCGAGCCCTTGAAGATGAGAATGTCCAGATCTTTAAAAGATTTCGTCAAGCGCTCCATTGTCGACGGCCCACGATATCAAATCCTTCCGCAATTTGCAAATCAAGAATCCTCTCTCTTGCGCCGAACCATCGTGTCGTGACCAAAGTCGTATGTATTGCGCTTCCGATTGTCAAATCCCTGGTGGCAAGGCTCATCTTCAAGGACCCTGAAAATTTCTCCGTGCTTTGCCGCAAAAAAATCGAAATCTGATCACTCCGCAGAGATTTGGTGTAGGTCGTGCATACCGATGTAGGTGCCCTCAATGGCGGTCTTGGGGGTACGGAAACCCAGACCGACATCCTTGTACCATCTGCGGCCGGAGGCAACCTTCTTGCTCTTCGCAATGGTCTTGGGGTTGACGAAGATGTGAGGCTGCTTCTGGAACGCACGTTCCGACTGGACGGTCAACTCGGTGGCCATTTTTGCGATATGTTCAGTCCGACGAGGAAGCGAAGTCGAGCTGGGTTGTCGCGAAGGGGGGGGGTGTCGGGGCGTGCGGTGGTCGACGTCGATGATGGAGAAGATTTATTCAAGATGGCGGATATTCGCCGTGTGAGTGTGCGATGGGGGCGCTAGTCCTCTTTGAGACTCGGCTAGGGCTTTCCGTTTTTGGTTTGTTTACATCCGCTCGATCACATGAGCGGCCTGGCCGGGAGACGCGCCCGCCGGAGATTAAGAGGAAAGCGGTGGACTTGGCCGGGTTTGTTGTTTGTTGCTTTCAATTAGTTAGCTAACTGCCTTGCCCGCCGCAACTTAACCAGCGACAACCATCGATCGTTGTTGCGCCATTCAACAAACTATGATCTTGCATTTCTGATATCAACAGGATCTGCATACGACAAATACCTGAACTTACATCTCCCCCCCCCAGTCTATGTCCGCTCCAGCGTGAACCCATGGCGTCCAGAAGTGACTCCGCGGGGTCTCTCCGCCCGCGAGCCCGTCGCTCTCTTGCTCATATCCCGCGGTCGAGACTGACCTCCACCCTCGACCAAGAAAATGCGACGACGGATATCAGCTCCTCTCAACCGCTTGATGGACGCCCCAAACCTATGGCTAGAGACAAAAAGTCTCGTAGCAAAAGCTTAGGCCCTGGTGGTCTAGATGCGCTTCAGGACTCCAACGGTAATCGCCGCAAGGTACTTGGTGTCCCCCTATCCCTCATCCACCACGTGTATCTTGCTTACAAAGTAACTGTTTGTTGTCGCGTAGTCCACAGCAGCCTTTCCCTTGAAGTCCATTCTCAAGCCAACTGTTCCCGTCTCGCCCGTGCGCACTATTCCTACATTTGAAGAAACACGCAAACGGACGCCGGCCCGTGGATCGCAGCCGAGTGTCAGCAATGAACCCAATACCCAGAGCGACGAAGGCCTCCTAATCGACCTTGATACTCCCGCGCCCGCTTCGAATAATTCCGAAGACCGATCCAACCCTTTCGACAGCTTCAACGCTGCATCCATTCGGGATGAGATGGCCGCCGCAAGGGAAAAGGAAGAAAAGGAGCAGCGGGAGCGGGAGCGGAAGATGATCCTTGAGAAGAGGGAGGCACGTCGGAAGTCCATGGGTTTGTCACCTTGATTTCTGCGCGATCTATATGTCGCTGACCCAACATCACAGCAAATCGCCGTGTCTCATTCGCCCCCGAAGCCACATTACATACTTGGAACGTGGTAGAAATACCCGACGACTCGACTTCATCATCTGCTGCGAACTCGACACGGCGCGCTTCATCAATAGCCGGAGCTGGAAACCAGACCCCTGCTCCCCAAGCCGAACAAGCCGAACAAGCCGAACAAGCCGAACAAGCCGAACAAGCCGAACCGCGATCCTCTCCCGACCCATACGCAGAGTCAGATGCCGGCTTCTCGCCCGTGCAGTATCCAGACCTGCAGCAACTCCAAAGCCAGTCAACCAACGGAAGCTACGATGAAATGGGGTCCTCGCAGGAGATGTTTTCAAGCCCCTTCAGCGGAAGTTCAGCCGACGGGACTGAAGATCTTGGACTACAGAGAGAGGACGACGACGATGACGACAATTCATCGACTTCTGGATTCGACGGAGAAAGCACCGCAATGAGCTTGGATGACATGTCAGTTCACTCTCCAGCCTCAGTTCATTCTGATGGTTCCGATGCCACCACTGGCAGTGCTCGCTTGAACGAAGCTTTGCGGCAAGCGGCTCGGGAAGCTGGAACTCGTGACTTTGAGGACGATGATGGAGACATGTCTATGGAAATCGCAGATCAGGAGATTACAGGTGCTTTCCAGCCTTGGATCAAGAAGGGCCAACGTGAGAGTTTCGATTGGGCAGATATCAGCGCTCGGTATGATCAAGAGAATGATCCGCCTTCTGAACCCATGCTCGATGCTCCTCCGACTGCAGATGACGAGGATGATGCTATGGATGAGGATCTTAGTATGGAGGTCACCAATGCAATTGGCCGAATTCTCCCCAACCAAGCGAGTCGACGCAGGAGTGAAGCGCGCCGCAAATCTCTTAGCGAGGAGACTAACTATGAAGAACAGACCATGGAATTCACTAATGTCGTGGGAGGTATTGCACAGCCTGTTTCTCCTGCGAAGTCCATAGGGGCGGAAAGTAGAAACGGAGATGAAGAGATGACTATGGAATTCACATCCGTTGTCGGAGGCCTTTTGAACAGTCTTGGCGTCGCCAACAATGCAGATGAGAACGACTATGATGCTCAACAAGAAGCCTTCGCTTCAGGTGAAAACGACCGTGTCTTGTCTGAATGGGAGAATGGGAATGACATGGATGATGGTATGGATATGGAGATTACTGGAGCTATCGGTGGCATTATCCCTGGTACTCAGGAGATCATTGCAGCCGAAGATGACGACCAAACCGCAGGCATGGATATGACTGCTGCTGTTGGACAGATTCTAGAACCAGAGCCAGAACAAGAACAAGAACCACCGGAACCGGATGAAGACCGAGTGACCCCGGAACCCAAGCCGGCTCAACTGGGTAGTTCGCCATTTCAAGAGACCGTACGGCAGTCTCCTAATAAGTCACCCGCTAAGTCGCCAACCAAGTCACCTTCCAAGTCACCTTCCAAGTCGCCTTCCAAGTCGCCGGCCAAATCACCAGCGAAGTCGCCAGCCAAGTCGCAAGTCGAATCTTCTTCCAAATCACCCGTCTCGTTTCATGTTGCAGCTGTGGCATCAGAAAGTGGAAGCCCTAGCTTGGCAAGTGTACGGGCCCGACGAACGAGGCAAAGCTTGACCCATCCGGCGCCCACTACACCCACTCCACAAACCCCACAGGTAACTCCACCGAAGGATATGGTCTCTCCTCCCAGTCCATCCACGCCGACAGGCAATGCACCCTCGAACACACACACAACGACCCCTTCCAGAGATGCAGGTACAGAAAATGCATCACCACAGAAGCTGTCCCAACCAGAAGTACAAGAATCCGCAAGTAATACATCCCCCAGGCGCAAGAGTCTGTTTGGGGAGAGCGTCAATGGACAATCGGCTCCTCTTTTTGTCTTGCAACCCCATGGGAAGAGGCGGTCCTCTGGTCTCGGTATCGACAAAGAGGGGCTTGGATCGCCTCGAGTCGCTGCTATTCTGGATAAGCGTCGGTCCATAGGTGAAGAAGCACCTGAGTTTGTTCCACAGGAGCAGTCAAAGCAGGGTGTGCGCTTCGAAGATCCCGTGAAGCTTCAGGAGGAGGTAGATCGTGAACGCGAAGAGGAGGTGAACAGAGAAGATGGCTTCATCTCGCCTCCAAAACTGAACGACAGGGATCCCACCGCAAGCTTGAAGGATATGATTTCGAGCTTGACACCCAAGAAGAATAAGCTTCGTGGTAGAAAGAGCTTGCATGTCGGGGCCGCTCTTGGCCTGCTGGGTAAAAGACCAGTCGAGTTGGATTTGGACGACGACGCGGATTCTGATCACACGCCAAAGCGCCTACGAGGCCGCCAGACTAGCAGCCCAGTGAAGAAGTTCAAGCTCCCAGCTCATTCGACCAACAGTGACACTTTTGGACGTGGATTCCAGTCTCCTCTTAAGACCATCAGTGCACAATCTCCTCTCAAATCCGTGTCAACGCCAACACAGACCTCTAAGACTATCAGTGCTACCACGAGTCCTGTCAAAGATAGCTCAGACACAGCATCTAACACAGAATCAACTGAAGTGCAAGATGCGCCTGTAGAAGATGCTGGCCCGGAGGTCGAGCCTATACAGTTGCAGGAATTCCTCAACATGACCAACATCCACTTCATGGAACTCACAACCACGAAAAGAAGGCATACTACTGCCCCAGACAGCGCTCGGAAACGAAATCTTCGACTTTCTAGCGAGAACGAGGCTAGAAGTCCCGCGAGCTTCGAAGAGTGCGTAGCTGCTGGCTTCTGCACCGTGCCTATGCTTGAGCTGTTTCAGCATGTAAGTCCTTCTCATGCTCAGTATTTGTGCACTACTGACGTGTTCCTAGTCTTGTCGAGAGTTGAAGTCGTATATAAATGAAGGCAGACAGGTGATCCGGTCTATTGAGACCGAGACTCTTGCCGATAATCCGCCACTGTTCCGCGAATATATGACCGCTCCACCGGACATTCGCTTGCTGATGGACAATCAATTCAGAAATGTCAAGACTCATGCTCGCCTACTCAGTAAGGCTACATGGTATGAGTGGCGCATGAAACTGCTGGAGGGACTTCGGGATGGCCTCAACCGTCACGTGCAAGAAATGAAAGCAGACGATGAACTCCTTGCTAAGCATGAGACCCTTCTGAGCGATACAGTGCCCGCTCTCATGGAGAAACACTCTTCTCTTGAGGCGGAGGCCACGACACTGCAGCAACTAGCAGACGAGCTTGAGAACTGTGACCAAGATGAGCTGCGTAGCGCGCGGGAAAAGCTTGCGGGCGTCGAGGACGAGATCGCGCAGAAAAAGAAGCTCCTACAGGAGATGCAGGCCGAACTCGAGGATAAGACTAACATCGTCGAAACCGGCACCGAGGTCAAGGCCGAGTACATGGCTCAGATCCAGGAAGCCGAACGAGTCAAGGCGCAATGTCGCGGCTGGAGCGCGCAAGAAATCAGCGAACTAAAAGATTCAGTCCGCAGCATCGAGCGTCAAACCGGCTGGAGCATCGTATCTGCCACCGCATCGGACGGTTCCACCCCGGCCGGCCCAGCAGTGACCATGTCCTACCGACACCAGCTGCAACTCACCTTCCACCCTGCGTGCTTCCTCATCAACAACAGTATCTCCACCACTCCCAACGACCAGGCCACCAACGCACCTGTCACGCTCAAATACGCCCCCACTACCACCATCACGACGAAACCCACCCATACCACCACCCCACACCTATCCGCCATCATCCTCCTGGTCCTGAAATCCCTCCAAACACACCTCACCTCCATCCCGCAATCCCGCACCGCTCCCAAACACCTCCTCCACTTCATCGCCCAAGCATGGGACCTGACCCTCCAGCTCGAAGAAGAAGCCCGCCTCCTCGAATTCTGCGGCGTTACCAAGCTCAAACTCCTCGAGGGCAACGACTCCGCCAGCGCCAAAAACTGTTCAACTCCTTCCCTCCGTGCGCGCTGCACCCTCCTCGGTCCCGCAACGCCCCCTTCAACCTCCTCTTTGGCAAGCTGCCGTATCGACGTCGACTTCGCCGTCCGCACTCGCATCATCCCTCCTCCACAGGACGGTGCGGGCACGGGGGCACTCGGGCAGCTGGACCTCCAGACCGACGTCCTCGCCAGCAAGGTGTACGGATTCACTGCGCAAAGCAAGGGCATATCCGAGACGGAGATGCGCAGTATCCTGAGCAAAGGTCTGTCCGGGTCCGGGACCTCGGCCGAGGGCAAGATGCAGCTCGGTCGTGGAGTCTGGAGGACGGCGGTGCGCAAATTGACCGGCACGGTGTTTTGAGCTTCAGACATCATGTACTATGATTCTGAATCCGGTTGGAAGTCAGAAGAAATCGGGAGTGTTGCTGTGTTTCAGTTGATTGAAGGTCGTAGGCGACGGCGAGACTGGGGGTTTGTTGATTCTACGTTTCGGGGTTGCTTCTAAACTTTCACTTTCGACAAGTTCTGATTCCCTTCATGTTGATCATTTTCGAAGGGGTCCGTGGGGGAGGGAGTTCTACATAGGTGTTTGGATTGGGGCGCTGTGGCTTGTTAGGAATTGCCGGGTGTAGTGGTGTGGTTTGATATATCTTTAATCCTCTTGTCACTGAGAATGATCAGTGCGGTAAATAGCATATCCAACGATAAGAATCCGTTATTGCTTATCTACACTATCCAGGTACATGCGACAGTCCGGGGTATGGTGTGTACTGTACTTATGCAGATTTTTCAATTTCCATGCATTAGAACCATGCATTAGATGGTGACAGTATGAATACAAGAATAGGATGAGAAGAGTACTGGAGATTCGTGAATTCGTCATGTCTGTTTAACATGTGAGAAGCATTAGGAGGGTATGTTATGTTGGTAGGCAAAGGACAGCTGGATCGGCCTGCCGGCTGCGTGTGCACACGTGACAACATACCAGCCCGCCCCCGATCTACATCGGAAATGGATAAGGCCCGGAGAACGGACCGTTCATCCACATTGCACTCGCCTGCATGGCTTGTGCTGCTGCTGCTGCTGCTGCTGCCGCCGCTGCGTCGTCAGGCACGGGGTCCTGACCCTGAGACCCGCCACTCGGCGGTGGTGGCACCATGTTGGGCGCGTACGGTAGTAGGCCCAAGCCCATGGGCATCGGACCCGTTGCCTGCTGCTGCCCCCCTAGGTTCGGAGTGCCGAACTGGGACGGCGGCGGCGCGTCCATGTTCACGTTGTTGCCGGGATTGACCATCGGTTGCGATTGTGATACGTCCGGAATGGGATAATTCAGGTCGAAGCCGAAGATGCCGTTCAGAGCCTGGGGCGACAGCTCCCAGTCGGCTGTCAGGGGGATTTGCCACAGGCCTGGCTGGTCGAAGTGGAAATTGTCACTGTTGACGGAGACGGGAAAGAAGCCGGCGTCGAAGCTGCTTATATCGAAGGGTTGCGGCTGTTGCTGGGAGGACGCGTCACTGGGTTGTAGGGGAACCGGCGTGGCAGATTGACTGAGAGACTGTGCTTGTGGCCGTTGGGAATATGTTGTGGTAAGAGGAGGGGGAGAGGTGGTGTGAGTTTCCGGGTTGGGGCCGGGACTGAAACTGTCGGGGACAACATAACCGGATGAATTGATCTGAGGTAGACCTTCAATGTTGGGAGGAATGTTGTGTGTATTCTTATGAGCGGCAGATGAGGTAGGAGAGGTTGGGGTAGACGTGGGGGGACTGGTCCGTGATTGAGAAGTAAGGCCAGTTTGTCGATGGCGAGAATGAACAGTCTGACCTGAGACGGTTTGTGACGCTGCAGGGTTCTCATCCTTGTTTGTCTGGGGTGAATTGCTTTCCATGTCACCGGGTTTCAAGACTTTCGCGTCTCGTTCGAGAAGATTGCGTGCGAGTCGCTCGAAATTGGCACTCATCTTAGTCATAAATCGAGCATAGTGGCCGGGTCCATCGCCTGGAACGAGCGTCGCGAAGAAGGTCGCGGCCATGGTAAGAGATTGAAGGTCTTCTTTGGCTTTAGGATGTTGAGGATTCTTCAGGATATTGACGAAGATGTTCATTACTGCAAGGAACACGTAGTACAGAAGAGACCTAAGGGACATTAGCATTTATGGAAGACCTCATCTCGGGCATGCCTTACCAGATCCATGCAATGTCGCCCCATGGCAGGTTGTTGACTAATTTCAAAGTATCCCGTGCAGCCTGTACACAGATCTCTGAAGAGACAGTGGCTTCGCTAAGAATTAAGCCGTAGTCATCCATAGGATGTCCTCGTGCAATGTGATCCATTGACCCGAAATGAAGTAAGACCGGGAGCCGATGAATCATGAGCATAGTATTATAGTAAACAAATTGCAGGCCGGCGGAGGCGAATCCAAGTAAGAAGTCCTGACCTGTTCCTCTTTTCTTCAGGCGACATTCGAACGGATTAGCGTTCTTCCATTCTTCGAGTTCCGAGTGTAGCTCTCGAATATCCTGAAAGATGACTGCAGGAGACTTGTGCTCCAGCGCCTTCGTAGAGTAGAGTTTGCTGTACATGCGACTTTTTATCACTGTGATCTTACAAAGCTGGCGGAAGAAAGAATTATGTGACGACGTCACGAATGCATCTTCTGTGTTATCTGCCGGAAAGTCCACGTCGAAGTCCTCATGATTCTGGATGGGACTGCTTCCTGCGCGTATACATGTGCTAGAAAGAGAGCGCATGTCAGAAGATTCCTTAGTCTATTTTGTGAGATGACGATAAGGGGGTGACGCACCTTTGGTCAAGTATATAGGCAACCCAGAACACTCTGCGTCTTTGCTCCTGCTCAGTGGGGGAAAGATGTGCCCTCGCAATATTGCGGTGTAGTCCCATGCGGTGACAAGCTTGCACGGCTGCCGTAAGAATCGGCAAGGAGGACTGGGTTCCGGAATTCCCTCGGAGAAAAAGAGCCATGCCCAAAAGAGCTTGTATGCTAAGGAGGTCGGTTCTCCTCAACGACAGCTCTACAAAGACTGACATGGCGTTCTTGTAGTAGAGCCAAGCTCTCTCCCTGTCCTTCTCGGATTTCTGACAGTTGGAGAACCGATATTCATAGGCCAGAGATAGCAAGATATTAATACTAGCCCATCGAGCGGCATCATCACAGGTCTGCTGCGTGTACTGCCACTCAACCAGGCGCATAAATGTCGCTTCATGATACAGCGGGAACAACCGATTGACAGTGCGAAAGTAATCGCGCAACAACGCAAATACCTCTGCTCGAGGAGGCAGCGGTTTGAACACCTCCGAGGTGAAGATGTCATGAAAGACGTCTGGCCGCCAATAGTCCCAAGGACTATCTCGAGTTGAGTCAGAAAATATGACATTCACAAGCTTTGTTTCACCGGTCTTTCTCTTGATCCATTCAAGACCTTCTCGTGAGAGAATAGACATTGAAGACGACCGTCCTTGAAGAGAAGTCAGTCGAGGTTTTGGAGAGAAACGCCGCAAATGGAAGACCACTTCATACCATAGTACCTATATTCTTCTCTGTTGTCCAAGACGAAAAGAGGGGCATGGGGCTGGCCGGACTTGGGAGGTGCACGATTTCCAACCTGGGGAGATTCTGGTGCAGCTTGTGACTTTCCCTTGTCATTCGACGACCGAGGCTGTGCATCTGCCAGATCGCTTGAAGCATCTAAAGTGGACGGTCCGGAATTGCGTCTACTGACGCCAGCACGAGGACTAAAGTAGGGAGAAATGAGATCGTCATCGGAGTCCATATCACGATCATGATCATCTCCCTCTTCGCTGAGATATTCATCCTCAAGTGACAGCTCTTCAGCGAATAAACCAGCGGCCCGGAGCAGAGACTCTGTCCTCTTGACTCGTTCTTCTAGTGATTTCACATAATGTGTCCTAGCCAATTCTTAGTCTGGCTTTGAAGATCGTCGGAGTGATCGGAAGACTTACCTTTTCAATGACTCTCTTTTTTCTTTTCTTGTAGTGAACTTGCAGGGTATGTTGCGACGCATACATTGCATGCAAGCATTGTTAGACCCTTCGACTTCGCATTTGATCTTCCTCTTGTAGCATGTTTCACATGCCTGCATTGAACGTTTACTCACGTGTTCTGTTATAGTGCGGAAGTAAGAGGAGAGATGCTTACCAGTGGATTCCGCCTCCGGCTGTCCTGGTCCTGCCCGCCGTTGGAGCCTGTATTTCTTGAAAGGGGAGGACTAGTTTGGACGCGCCAGGAGGACGAGTGATCAGTATTTAGCTCCAGGCTCTGCATGGTTTGTGTCTAGACAGAGCAATCGGCTACTATCACCATAGGATCAAACGGGCCCATACTCAAATGGCCTGGTGGATCACCTATTAGGCTGACGATAACGGAACGTGATCATGTGCAATAAAGCACCGGAGTAAGCATCGCTCGTCCAATAGCAACGAGCAGAAACAAGCCGAAGAAGAAGAATGAAAATAAAAAAAAAACTAGAGACGGATAGACAACAGCAGCCCAGCCCTATCAGGCAAAATATACAGGAGAAAAGAGGTTGAGTGAAGGGCAAACGAGTGATGAGAACGCTACGCGGGCGGGATCGAGCCTTAGGCTCTTAGCTACCCGGCTTCCGTTTAGTGCAGGAGGATCGGGTTGAGATGTGGGATGCTTATTTACCCAGTTGAACTGTGTTGCAGCGGCACGAGGACAATTTCGTTATGGCCAAAGACAGTCCAGACAAGGAGATCTGCACCAGCGACAGACAGTAGACACCGAAAGAAGGTGATTCAAGGTGTTGACTCAAATTTTTCATTAATCTGGTCGTGACAGTTGGGAGGTCCCTTTTTGGCAGGGATTATTAATGGCGTCCGTCCCATGCTGGAGGAGATTGTCGAGGCTCGCTCGGCAAGTCGGCGCCTCCAAATTCCGTCCCGGACGGCAACTGCAGTTCTTCTTTCCGTCGGACGTGCGAGAATACCCTCACAGCGGTGCAAAAACCCCTCAGACCATACCCCTGTTCAAGCCCCTGGAATCGTAGTATGCTGGCTATTTTGCAAGTCTGAGGTTGTTCCGCTGCTTCGTTGCTTCGTTGCTTCGTTGCTTCGTTGCTTCGTTGCTTAACAAAATCCCCTTCAGTCTTATTTCCCGGCGGACAGAATCTCTTCTTGTCTAATCCTGCTTTGTGTGCAAAAAAGTCGATGTGACTTGGTCGACTGTTGTTCACCACCCTGCAGATTGCGGAGTGCCCATGCTGGCTGCAATTCAAAGTGACAACTTCCAAGCGGTCTTGTGCTGATCTCTGGGTGGCTTCGTGGCAAGTCAAGTCGTTGAATAGATGCAGATAAGCTTCTCGCGGGACTTGTTTGATAGAACTTCCAGAAAACAAATATAATCTGCTAGTACTTGATCATCCAGCCTTCCCCGCATTCTGGAACCGGTACGTTTGCCCCGCGGTGAGTGTCGACGCTCGGTCGCCGGTCTAGGACACGGAAGTACGTCAGCATTCTTGCGCATCGACTGGCTTGGGAATGGTCTAGAGCAATCGACTCACTGCATGATACGACCAAACAGGCCGGTGGCCGGTGTGAACTCCGCGATCGCAGGCCTCAGAATGCTGCATGCTATGAGGGCAAGGGGCGGAGTGAG